TGTGGGTATTTGCAAACTTGTTCCTTGTTCTATTTTTCCAGAGGCTATTTTACTTTCCATGTTTATAGATTCTTTAATCTGGTTCAAATTAGTACTCCTAATGACAGTCTGGATTGATCGCTGTTAATTCCCAGCTCATGTCTTCCCCTTGCCTTGCTCCCTGCTGTCTCTCAGGGCTATGACCCTCTGGACTTTTCTCCTGTGGGGGCATATATTTCCTTATTGTACTTGATTGAGAATTTTTTGTTCCTCCACCTTTGACATATCTACTCATATCGTTGCATGTTTTCCCTTCAACTCTTTGGCTACAAGTCAAAATGATATTTTCCAAATTATACCAATTTTAAATCTCCGTACAGGTGTTCTCTTTTTTTATACAAGGTACATCACACCAAAGAAATTTAGCCTCTTGCTCCTTTTCTTCTAATCCCACTGGGTGTCCTCTCTCCTTTTAATTCCTTTCCTTAGCTTTAATAATCCCAAAGACTTCCCCAAGGCCTCCTGGAAAGTCTTTTACATCCACTCCCCTTAAACACAGTTGATACGTTTGATATAAATCAGGTAATTTCACCGCTACCCACAGCAACTCAGCATCACAGTCTGTGAGGGGGCTCACATTTATTCCTCTTCTCCAGTCTGGAGTCTTGCTGCAGGGGCGGTCACCTTAACTCACCAGGAGTCGCTGGTGGTATAGAGGGGTCACCCTCTGTGGGTATCTGGGCTCCAGATGTCCTGTGTCCTACATCACCTCCTCCTCCGTAGCTCACCAGCTACGATCACCGCTAGACCAGAGGAGAAAATCGCTTTCACTCTGTCAGCCCACACCACGCAAGAAGCACCGATCGGAAGACAGGTAAGGGGGGGGGGGGGGGGGGGGGTTCATGAGTCTTTGACCATTATTACACTGCAAGCATTGAGAGCTCCTGACACTAGTATCCTACCAGGCCCATGTTCCGCTATCTCTACATTTTTTAATCACTTTTATTGCTATCAGAATGAATAAACATATTACCTTTTGATAGCAGATGCAATGACAGGTACTCTTTACTGAGAGATTTGGGGTCTATTAGACCCCACACATCTCTCTACTGGCCTCCAAATCATCTGATCACACCAAGATCGGTTTGATCAAAGGCTTGTTCAAGCCTGTAATGGATTTTTTTACACAAGACTGAAACCAAAAGTGACAAAATCCTTGTTGCTTCCGGTTTCTAACGTTGCACAGTGGGAGGAACAACATCCATTCCTCTCACTGCATCCTAGGAACCGGATGCCGCCGGTTGCATCTTTACCAGGCTCTCCCGTTGGATCAGTGGTATCCCTGTCCGCTGCCCATAAAAGTAATCCAGTGGCTTCTTAGCTGCTAGGATTACTCTTGCACTGAAGGGGATCACCGACCCCCCCAAAAAAAGAAAAAGATCTCAATCACTGCTGCAGCGATCGTATCCAATCCAGCGACGTAGCAGTACATAGCTAGACAGGAGGCCCAACTCTGGGCAAATAAACAAAATGGTCCCTTGCAGTGGGGCTATGCCCACACTCGAAGGGTTAACTGCTTGTTCATGTTTAGGGGAATAAAAGGAGATATACTTACCCATCTCCCAGCAGTTAGACTGGTCCCCGTAATGTCTGCACCCCGGCAATCCACCAGTCTGGGGTCTTGATTTCATCCCATACCCTCTGTGCATGAAGACGCAGAGGACAGTCCACCGCTGGATTGTGAGGAAGCACCTACCGAAGTGGGAGTGGAGGATCAGGTAAGTAAAACGGTTTCTTTTGGAGCCTGGAAAACGAGCCATTAATCCTTGCAATGCAAACACAGCCCCACTGCAAGGGATCATTTTTTTTATCTGCCCGGAGTTAGGCTTTAATTTATAAGTTCACCTTTGGAATATGTTACACGTTCCACCCGTTTTTAGGGTGGAACATGTAACACGTTCCCATAGCTGCAGCTGCGCCCACCGCCTCCTCTCCCTCTGACAGATAGTACGGGGTGAAGTTTCCCCGTACTGTCAGATTTAAAAACGGCGCGGCAGTGCGGGGCTCTGACCACACGACCACGTCAGAGTTCTGTGAATGAGTGCCTACAAGTCCCAACAGCCTTAGTGGCTGTCAGCTAGTAGTTTTCAATGAACTACCAAGGTGCTGTGGAGCGCCGTGGTAGTTCATTGAAGATTCCTGTCGGTATAACTGCTTGACCATACATGCCATACAGCAAGCAGATATTCTGACAGGTCTGCCGGAGACCTGCATAGCATCAGAGATCTACTGATCGCTGGTGTAATTCTTTCCAGCTCCTTTGAACAAAAATAATAAATGCACATTTTTTTTTTTACCTACAAACAAATGTGCATTATTTTTGTCCAAAAGCTGAACTTATCCTTTAAGGCCTCGTGCACTGGGATGTAAAACAGCTCCTGTGTACTGAAGTGTGAAATTCCTGGTGCTTTCCTGCGCCTGGGGAGCCGCACATGCCGTGTACAGCAGCCAGTACATGTGAATGGCTGTATGAGTGCCTAAATGGCTGAGTGCTGCTTCTGCATCAGAGCTTACCCACGCATGTGCATACAGCATGTCTCTTTAAACACCAAAAAAAAAAAAAACATGGGAGAAAAGCCATGTGCGGGTAAATGCTGATGCAGAAGCAGTTTTTACCCGTGTACAACCCTTCACTTGTACTGGCGGCTGTATGTGGCTCTCTGGGTGCAGGAAAGTTCTGGAGATTTCACACTTCAGGACACAAGAGCTGCTAAAAGTCTGTGTGCATGAGGACTTACCTGATCCTCCAGTAGATGGCACTCCAGTAGTGGACTCTCCCTTGGCATTGTCACATCCAATGAAGGGCTATGGTCCCCGCATTAGTCTTCATGTCGTCAGGACATTAGAGACCAGAGTGCAAGGACCAGGCTAGCAGTACGGAGGAGCCTGCGGGAGCAGAGGACCAGGTAAGTAAGACTGCTGTACCAGTGAGCTGTTAGCCTTTGTAGCGGGAGGACTTTCAGTTTTCCTCTGAAGGATAAAAGTACAGCAGCCATGTGCCTGGCTCACCGTAGAAGCCACTACAAGGAAGTATGGACTTTTCTGGAAAGGCTGTTTAGATTTGTAAGCACACATGACAGGTGCACTTTACCATCACCTAAAAGAGGGGAGCACATCCTGGACCTCAGTCACCAGCTATGGCCTCCATTTACACAGAGTGTCAGATTTGCCTCGTAGACAGGTACAGTCTTTTGGGTGCTGCGGGGTAGGCCTTTCCACCAGGACCTGCGAAGAAAAGGTCCAAATACACTGTTTGGCCCCGTTGGCCCAGACGAGGTCTGGTGTGCTGCCCAGAACATGGATAGGGCCACCCACTGATCTAAGGTAAGTAGAAGAGGTGTGATCAGGATGGGGGGCGGGGCGTTTGGATTATTATTTCAGGTACTTATATAGCGTTGTCAATTTACACAGCACTTTACATATATATTGTACATTCACATCAGTCCCTAACCCTCAAGGGGTGTACAGTCTAAGGTCCCTAACTCACATTCATACATACACATACTAGGGACAATTTATACAGGAGCCAATTAACCTACCAGCATGTCTTTGGAGTGTGGGGGAGGAAACACACACAGGTACAGGGAGAACATGCAAACTCCAGGCAGGTGGTGCCAGGGTTGGGATTCGAACCAACGACCCTAGTACTGCCAGGCGGAAGTGCTAACCATTTAGCCACTGTGGATTAAATCAATGAAACGTTTATTTCACCTACAGGGCAGGGGTGGCCAACATTTTGAAGAGCGAGGGCCACATAAGTGATTTGGTAACTGGTCACGGGCCACAAAGTAATGAAATGGTTCAGAATTTTTTTTTTTTTTTCCCTTTGAATAGCACAATGAACATTTTCCTCCTGCAGACGTTGAATGCTGGCGGGAGGGTAAGAAGCCATCTTTCAATGGTTGCAGGAGGAAAATGAAAAGGATCAGTTCCTCTATATGAGTGTGCATATATGTAAAACAGAACGTGACAGGGAGGCCGCATGGGTCCCCTGGAGCTTGGGACGGGCTGACGATACACCAGTGGTTGTGAGAGGGGAGTAGCTGGTAAAAACACATCTCAACTATGGGGTTTTACAGACCCAGCCCCCCCAAAATGTAAACAATCCCTTACTGTCCTGAGGCTACTATAAAGCTGTTTTCACACTGACGTGCTGCGGTTTACCCGCACCACAGGTGAAGTTGAGTGCACCTGCAGTTTTCCTGAAGATTAGCTGCGTTTTGCCATAGACCTTGTGTCAATCATATCTTGTGGGTGTGGTGCACTTGCCAAAAGCCCAGATCGCGATCATTGGGTAGCCGCTCCTGGGCATGCACTTCCCTGATCTGAGGTCACGGGCCACAAGTTCAGCACCTCGGCTATAGGGCTTGTTAACACCAGGTGTGGGATGCCAGCATGTGAAAAAGTGCATTTTCCCGCACAAAAATTCTGCCTTTAAGATGGAGCCCACATGCATCTAACAAATGTGTGTGTGCATTCCGCCAAATCACATGACACCATAGTAGCAGGCGTGGCGCTTGACCTTAACGGCCCATCCTAAAATGCAACACGCACAAACGCACATGCTCAGACACACACCAACGCACATGCGCAGACACACACACACCAACGCACATGCGCAGACACACACACCAACGCACATGCGCAGACACACACACCAACGCACATGCGCAGACACACCTCGTGGTGTAAAGGAGCCCATAGAAGACTCTTAGTGCTTACTGCCTGCTGAAAATGCTACCTGCCTGGCTCAACATTTCCTGAGAGGACCAGGACACCCCAGAAGGACACCCCAGAGAGGTCACTAATGACAGCCTGAGTATTCCACAGTCCAGGGCCCAGAAAGCACAAGAACCAATCACATTCCACCTTGTTGCAGTCTGGCTTTAGTGATTGGTTGTTATGGGTTACTGCGCTCTGGAGAAAGCCTCCCCCCAGGTGACCCTCAGCCCGCACTGTACCTGTGTGTTGAGGAGCGGGGCCGGCTCTGCAGGTCTAGTCAGGGTGGAGCGCTGCCGGCACAGGGATCCGCTCACGGCCGCCACAGGACGCCGGGGGAGGGGGCGCAGCGCCGCGCGGACACACACACAGAGGGCACGGGACGCCATGGCTGACAGCGGCCTACCCACACTACACCGCGGGGAGACACGACCAACGAGACTTCCGGTAGGCGGGACAGAGCGGCCTCAGACCATAGAGAGGCGCCAGGAACTGCTAATAGGGAAGATAGATGTACCGCCGCCTAAAATTACTATAAAACCGAGCGGTACGGATAGCTTAAGAGTCCGTTCAGCCACTTCATTAAACGTGTGTTATTAAGGGATATTAGAAAAGGAAAGTATATCACCATCTTGGTACACCCACTTTATTTATCCTCCCACGCCATCTTGGTGCACCCAATGAGGACAGAGTGGAAGGTCACGAGCTTGTCACATGGCTGGGCGGTCTGAAAGCTTCTTATTATCCAGAGGTTTCCCATAGCAACCAATTACGTTGTAGCAGTCAGTTATTATAGGGTGTATTTGGCCACCATGGGCAACACAACCCTGTCTGCACTTACACAAGGCCATAGCCATACCCAGGGCGGCTGTTGGAAAACCACAGGGCCCCTTACAGCCAACCTGATAGGCCCCCCCCCAAACCACAGGGCCCCATACAGCCACCCTAACAGACCCCCCCAAACAACAGGGCCCCCCATCCATGTTATTTTTCATCGCACATTTGGGTAATCATGGGTAGGGCAGCTGTTAGAAACCACGGGGTCCCTTACAGGACCCCCAAACCACAAGATCCCTTACAGGGCCCCCCAAACCACAAGATCCCTTACAGGGCCCCCCAAACCACAGGGTCCCTTACAGCCAACCTGACAGGGCCCTCCAAACCACAGGGTCCCTTACAGCCAAGGGGATTGGTTCCAGTAATTGCCCCGTTCATCCTTCCTACCCACATCTGATTCACCCAGCTGCCTTGGGCCCCCCTGCAGGGATGGGCGTGGTACAGGAGGACTGGTGGTACCCCATTATCCACGGCCCTGGCCATACCTCAGAGGTGTGGAAAATCAGTATTCCTGACAATAGCGGTGGAGAAAGTGCAGGGTGTAACTGGAATGTCCCTTTGGCATGTGTATGTTTTTTTTAACCACTTGCCCTCTGGAAGATTTAACCCCCCCCCAATTATGACCTTTTTTGCACATTTGCACAAACCCAGACACGTCCATCGGATTGCCAGACAGAGAAGCGTGATTGGTCACTCCAGAGAACATGTCTCTATTGCTCTAGAGTCCAGTGGCAGCATGCTTTACACCACTGCATCCAACGCTTTGCATTGCACTTGGTGATGTAAGACTTGGATGCAGCTGCTTGGCCATGGAAACCCATTCCATGAAGCTCTCTATGCCCTGTTGTTGGGCTTATCTGAAGGCCACACCAAGTTTGGAGGTTTTTAGCTATTGACTCTGCAGACAGTTGGTGACGTCTGCACTGACCCCGCTCTGTCATGTGACGTGGCCTACCACTTTGTGGCTGAGTTGCTGTTGTTCCCAGTTGCTTCCACTTTGTTATAATCCCACTAACAGCTTACCGTGGAATATTTAGTAGCCAGGAAATGTCACGGATGGACTTATTGCACAGGTGACAACCTATCACGGTACCACGCTTGGAGTCACTGAGCTCCTGAGAGCGACCCATTCTTTCACCAATGTTTATAGAAGCAGTTTGCATGCCTAGGGGCTGATTTTATACACCTATGGTTATGGAGGTGATTGGCACACCTGAATCCAATGATGTGGAGGGTGGGCCCAATACCTTTGGTAATAGTGTATATACCAGGGCTCTGCAACCTTTAAGACATAAAGAGCCACTTGGACCCGTTTCCGAGAGGGAAAAAAAAGACTGGGAGCCGCAAAACCATTGCAACATTTAAAACAAATCCGACACTGCATATATTGCAAAAAGCGCTCTGGTCATGAAGGGGGTTTAAGGGCCCAGTAAGCAAAGGGTTAATCAGGGCCACAGTGTATTGTCATAATCACAATCATAGCCTTAGGTCAGTGGTGGGCAACCTTTATTTTCAACTGAGCCAAATCTCGCCAAAACCACGATTGAAATTTATTTTGAGAGCCACATTTTTAAAACTGAAAATACATCCCCCATATAGTAATTCATCCCCCATATAGTAATTCATCCCCCATAGTAATTCATCTCCCATATAGTAATTCATCCCCCATGGTAATTCGTCCCCCATATAGTAATTCATCCCCCTTATAGTAATTCATCCCCCATAGTAATTCATTCCCCATATTGTGTCAATTCACTTACCTTTGCTCCGCGCGTTCCTCTCGCCGTGTTCCCGCGCCGTTCCGGTCTTCAGGGCGGATTGTGAGAGGAGAGGAGTTCGTCACGCTGCCCCGCCTACATCCTGACAGCCAATGTTTGCCACGCTCTGCGGGCCGGATTAAAAGGTCCGCCGGGCCGTAGTTTGCCCATTGCTGGGCTAGCTGCAGAGTCCTGACTTTTGGGGCAGCCGCCCGAGAGGAGGGAGGGGAGCGGGCGCCTGGCACACAGAAGAGCCGCATTAAAATGTGTAAATAGCCGCGGCTTGCCGACCACTGAGCTACGGCAACCCTATTGCCTGTCACCTGGTGGGCAGTGTGCTCCGGAGCCGCAGCAAAGGTGAAAAAGAGCCGCATGCGGCTCTGGAGCTGCGGGTTGCCAACACCCGGTATATACAGTATAGTTCATAAAGCAGAAATATATAAAAAAACAACCGTATTGTCCAATGTAAGTGTCCCACACACCAACCAATCTTCGTGCAATCTTCAGTCAATATATTAATTAAATTCCTCTTTATTCGAATGACTTTTTTCAACATAAACACCACCTTATCCTTTACCACACCTCATGTGTATCGCCTCAGCTTATACCATGGACCTCACTGCAAAAGGAGGGTCAGTTGCTCTTTTATATTAGAGACCATGATCTTCTTCAGTATTCACATGGTCATTACCGAGCGCCCGGGAATAGATGGGAAGAAAATAAACATCCAATAGTGTAGATTGCTAGTTTATTTCCATAAGAAAGTTAAAATTTCACCCACGTTAAAACGTTCATAGAGGCATGTTACAGGTTAGCATACTCGACTTTCCAAAATGGCTTCTAAGCTACGCCCAGCGTGGTGAGGTCACTGCCCGCTGACACAATGCGCCCCAGTCGGATTTCTCAAAGGCTCAGGCTAGTCAACAACACCATGGTCCTATATATCTACTGCGTCCAGATTGACTTGGCAGCCTTTTACCACACCGCCATCTTTGTGGAGACCACATGCTGCACCCAAACTAACATCTAACCAAAGATAATCATGAGGCAAGAAATAAGGGCATTTCTAATCAGAACGTCAGAGACATTCCCTAGTATTTATGGCAAATGAACAAAGGTGAAATGTCATCTGATTAAGAGCTGAATAAGCAATGCACTAATAGTTTAAAATGCCATAAAAACATATTTAAAAATGGCATACATATATATATATATATATATATATATATATATATATATATATATATATATATATATATATATATATCACAGTAAATAAACGTAAAATATAAACTCACGAGCAATTAAATATAAAATAAGACAAAAGATATTGCTAAAAAAACCTAATGGATATATGGCGTATGCGCTTTCATTACATAAAAAAAATAATATATACACACATATAAAAAAAAATATATTATATAGGAATAAATAATATCCTATTCCTAGAAATATACTGTATATATGACAATACATATATAAACAAAAATCATTTTAATAGAAGAATGAATATGTATATATTGTGGAAAGAGGAAATATAAAAATTTGCAGAATAAAAAGAAAAGGAAAGTAAAAAAATGACAGAAAAATCTGGAATTACTAATAAAACAGTTCAAAACAAACTCTATATGGAGTCCTCTAAGGGACAAAACTTTATTTTTATGACTCCACCAGGATTCCCTTTGGCTCAATTTTTTTTTTATAAAATTGCCTCCCCTCCAGTCTCTCTCCACGTTCTCCAGTGCCCAAAACGCCATTTGGCTAGGGTTGCAATTGTGCATCAATTTAAAGTGTTTTAAAATACTCAGTTTCTCATAATCTTTTTTTAATGTTCTTTATATGTTCCTGAATTCTTGTTGTAAGATTTCTCGATGTTTGACCTACATATTGAAATCCAGTTACATTTGATCATATACACTACCTCCTTCCGAAGCACAGCATATAAAATCTTTAATTCTCATTTTTCACCCCTGGCCGTCACTTTAAAACTCTTTCCTGCCTCTCTGGATTCACCTTTGATGTCTTACATGCTTAACATTTCTGACAGGCTGTGACTCCTTCGATTCCAGAGAAATCAAAGGTCACAGGTTTAGGAGGATCTAAGACTGATTTCACCACTTTGTGTCTTAAAGAGGGAGCTTTTTTATTTATAAAATTTTGGATTCTTAGGGAGTATAGATAATAATAGCCAATCTTTCTTGAAACTATGCCAATTTTTTTCTATTTTCTTATATTGAACATTGCATTCAAGAATAGCGGTGTTCATATCCATATTCCTTTCCCTGGATTTATCTTTATCCTTAATGAGGTCTCTCTTCATATTTCTCACCTTTTCTAATTCCATTTTCGCTTGTTGTTCGAATACAGCATCTTCTGTACAATTCCTCTTTATTCGAGTTAATTGCCTTCTTGGTATAATAAACAGGCATGGTTGATGGTGACAACTTTCTTTAGGTATATAGCCATTTCTATCACGTCTTAAAGAGTTCTTGTAGTAAAATGGTCATTATGTTTCTCAATCAAAATATCCAGAAATTCAATCTATTTTCTATCTTCCAATTTATAATTATATTTTTATTGTTCATATTCAAGCAGTACTTAAATGCATCCAGACGAGCTAACTCCCCCTACCATATTAACATAATATCATCTTCAGTTAGGTTCATAGATATTTGAACACCGGCACAATTTTTAGATTCTTCAGGTATTTACCAAAACATATTCAAGCTATAGTTATATAATGGATATGGGCTGAAAGTGCACACTCTCAGGTTTAATTTGAGGGTATGTACATCCAAATTGGAGGAAGGGTTTAGGAAGTATAGCTCTTAAGAGTAGCCATCCCCCCTTTTTCAATAGACCAAAAGTAATTGGACAATTGAATCAAAAGCTGTTTCATGGCCAGGTGTGGGCTACTCCATTATTCCTTCATCAGTTAAGCAGGTAAAAGGTCTGGAGTTGATTCTAAGTGTGGTATTTGCATTTGGAATCTATTGCTGTGAACCTTCATCATGCATTCAAAGGAGCTGTCTATGCAAGTGAAAAAGGCCATTGTAAGGCTTCAAAAACTAAACAAATCCATCAGAGAGATAGCAACATTAGGAGTGGCCAAATCACCAGTTTGGTACATTCTAAGGAAAGAAGAGCGCACTGGTGAGCTCAGCAACATAAAAAGGCATGGATGTCCACGGAAGATAACAGTGGTGGATGATCGCAGGATCCTCTCTATGGTAAAGAAAAACCCATTCACAACATCCAGACAAGTGAAGGACACTCTCCAGGAGGTGGGCGTATCATTGTCAAAGTCTACAATCAAGAGAAGACTTCACGAGAGCAAATATAGAGGTTTCACCACAAGGTACAAACCATTCATAAGCCTGAAGAATAGAAAAGCCAGATTAGACTTTTCCAAAAAACATCAAAAAAGCCAGACCAGTTCTGGAAAAGCATTCTTTGGACGGATGAAACGAAGATGAATCTGTACCAGAATGATGGGAAGAAAAGTGTGGAGAAGGCTTGGAACAGCTCATGATCCAATGCACACAACGTCATCTGTAAAACATAGTGGAGGCAGTATGATGGCATGGGCATGCATGGCTTCCAGTGGCACTGGGTCATTGATGTTTATTGATAATGTGACAGAAGCAGGCGGATGAATTCTGCTGTGTTTAGAGATATACTGTCAGCCCAGATTCAGCCAAATGCAAAGTTGATTGGAAGGCACTATACAGTACAGATGGACAATGATCTAAAACACACTGCAAAAGCAACCCCTTTTGAAGGAAAAGAAGTGGAATATTCTGCAATGGCTGAGTCAATCACCTGATCTCAACCCAATTCAGCATGCATTTCACTTGCTGAAGGCAAAACTAAAGACAGAAAGACCCACAAACAAAGAACAACTGAAGACAGCTGCAGTTAAAGCCTGGCAAAGCATCAGAAAGGAGGAAACCCAATCTTTGGTAATGTTCATAGATTCCAGACTTCAGGCAGTCATTGCCAGTAAAGGATTCTCAACAAAATAGTAAAAATGAACATTTTATTTATGATTATATTCATTTGTCCAATTACTTTTGGTCCCATGAAAAAGGGGGGATGGCTACTCTTAAGTGCTGTAATTCCTAAACCCTTCCTCCAATGTGGATGTACATACCCTCAAATTAAACCTGAGCATGTGCACTTGCAGCTCATATCCATTATAGAACTACAGCTTGAATATGTTTTGAAAAATACCTGAAAAAACTAAAATTGTCCTGGTGTCCAAATATATATGGACCTAACTGTATGAAGAGCCTATAACACTTCAATTCAGGGGGCCAATCAACAAAAATTTCTTAAAATTTCCATTTGGTCATAAAAAATACTGGCGACACTGGGAGCAAATTTAGCTACCAATTGCTGGTAATACTGCGATCCATACCAGAAGTAATTATGAGTTAGACCAAACTTAAGGCATTCAATAATAAACCTCTTCTGTTTCCTGAAGATCTGAAAAACGATTTAAAG